GTCTATTTCCGTCTGGAGGTAGTAGTTACTGGGTTCGTGGGTGTGGGGCGGCGTCTCTGTCACATCAAGGTGGACTTGTTATTAATATATGCACTGCTGTCGCCTACAACCAGTAGTACGGAATAGAAGGTGGAGTGCTTGGTCATGTTACTGTAGAAAGCAACACTCCATCTATGTATGTAGTACCCGGGGTACACTGTAGTAATATGTAGGTTCTGGATGATATGATTGCAAGCGTGAACTTGGTGCGTGATCATCAGTTGCCCAAATACAGTCATTGGTCCTTTTCCCTCAAACGTTGGAGCCAAGCCCGACAGTTGGTAGCCAGCCCATTATATTCTTCAGGCGGAATACGTCACCGTGCTTGGCCAGGAGAAGTCGCACAACCCCGAAACCCCGAAACCTCCGCGGTGAAGGAATCAACCACTGCTCGTTGCCTGTTTCGCCCGCCTTCTGCGTCTTCTGCAGATGAGGCTTGGATGTTGGTGGTGACCCCGCAATCCCGTCATCACCGCACTCGTCGCTTGAGGCGGCCCTTGAGTCATGCGGCTGACATTTGCAGGCGGCTTGTCCACGTCGATGACATCCCAGCCTTCTTGATTGGCAAATGCGTGGCTGAGCAAATCAACTTCAGAGAAGCCCAGCCATTGCATCATCTCCCGGCTGCTCAGGAGCTGTGCCGCGTTGGGCGAAGTGTCCACCCAGGCCTTGAGTCCACGCAGGGACAAAGGTCCACAGGGTGTGTCCAGGGTGACCAACTTGAACTGCACTTGGCCGTCGCCCTTGAGGGTAGGTGCTTGACCATACGGCTGGATCACGGATGGCTCCGGCGAAATCATCGTGACTTCCACAGCGGCTCGCTCCAGGGACTTCATGACACCGGATGTCACCAAGGTAACCTCAGAAGCGGTGTCGAGGAGGGTCGTCGTGACGGACACGATGCCTTCGATATTGGCTTCGCGGCCGAGGGACTTGTTCGCGCTGCCTTGAAATATGACCTACTTGTTGCGCGCGATCTCCCAGTTGTCCATTTGCTACTTGAGCAGGCGCTCTGATTTGCCAGGCACGCACTTGGGGCAGATCATGACCTTGTGGTTCTCGCTGTTTAGGTATTGTTGTAATGACGGATGAATGTTCACTGCTCCGACACTGTCGAGCCGTTGAACGAGGGCCGGTCAGGGAGCGCGAGTGCGTTATACACGAAGCCGCACTTGTCGCGTTGTCCCGTGTCATTGTCGTCGGGGACAGGGGGCAGGTTGGTGGCACCAGTTGGTGTCGCCGCTGCGGCGGAAGTAATCAAATGGGTCGGCCACAGGGGTGGGTGTGGCCCGTAAATGCAGTGTTGGCGTAGCCATCTGGTTGAAACCGCTGGTAGATTACACCGGCGTGAAGAGGCGCACGGGGTAGTGGTTTAACGGCGCAAGGGATGGCCACGTTCTGCTTATCGGGATCGGGATCGCTCCATCCCGTTAATAGGGGGCTGCGAGCGTTGGTGTTCAGAGTCACTCATTGCTTCGGGTGATGAAGCTAAAGAATTCTTTGTTTTCGCTCCCGTCGTTATCCCGACAGTAACCTCTTGCGGAGGCCGAATCAAATTGCAAACCAAGGTACCTTACTAAGAATTACTTTTTCTGGTCTATTTTAAGTCTAATCATTTTGTCCAATGAAAATGCGCCAACAATTCACATCTTTCAACCGCACGACAATGGCGTACAACCGCACGATGAATGGTGACCTGCTGCACATAATGGAGACTAACGGCCATACCGATCATGAGACCATGAGCCGACCTCTAAAAAGGCTCATAGGCCTTTCTGCAGCGCCATGCAGAACAATGGTAAGAGTATTGTAGCCAATCATTCATGTAATATCCATCGACATGAAATCCAAGTACAAATGCATCCAATGGACAGAGTAAGATGCATCGTACAACAACAACTACCTACTGTACGCGGGGTTCCAGCCATTGTAGCTACTTTATAGAATTATTAAGCTCCAGGCCACCAGAATACTACGTCCTAAAGATTTGAGGATTCCAATATTCAGTAATACACATTTATAATATAGCGTAAGATAATACAGTCAACGACAGATTTTAGGGGACACACTGCACTTCGAATTTCTGATAATGGCGGAAGTTCATTGGACGAAGTACTTCGAAATTCGTTCGATTTTGTGGCCAACCAGACAAGAGCAATCGCTTTTGCAGAATTTTGAACACATCTAATATTTTAAATTAGGCGTATTGATGAACAACCTCAAAAGATAAGCGTTTGACGCGATAGCGCAGTGGTAAAACACGTGGTGTGTCTTGAGTGAGCCCCGGGTTCGAGTCCCGGGCGCCTCGAACTTTTTCTTGTAATTATGTACTAGTAAAATCATTACTGAAGGAGAATTTATTGTGGAATAGTCTTAGCAAAACTTCGACGGATTTCTCCCGGCGTTATACGTGCCCATGCCTTAATGGCACGATGAATCATAGCTAGACGCTTTTTTTGCGCCGGGACAGTCATCATATCTACATCCTCCTCAATATCACTACCTTCTATGAGCTCTTCTTCCAGCCATAAGTTGCGCATATGCCGCTTGAAAGGGGCCATAATACCAACATCCTAGGGCTGCACATGACTTGTTGTATTGGGTGGGATGGCCGCAACAACACACCCCGCTTCTTCACTGGCAAACTTGACTCCTTGCTTGCTTACATGCGGATCGAAATTGTCGAGCAAAAGAACAGAAGGCTCTCGGACCTGCGGCTTGAGAACTTCACGCAAGTACAGCGCCCAGACACGTGAGTCCATCCATGCCTTGTCTTGTACCGCATAGTGATGAGCAATAGGAAAGCCATCGAACTCCGCCGTCTCGATGCCGCCGCCTTGCTTGCCACGCATGATGAACTGGATGGGAAGCTTCTCGCCATTTGCTCGCACCGCCAGCACAGCAGTCATACGGTACGAGTTCTTCTCGCCAGCCGAGATCTTCGCCGAACCGCCGCGCACCGACCAAATCGCGTGAGGGGGCATGTCGTACGTCATTCCAGTTTCGTCCACGTTGATGACTGCTTCCGCACTGAAGCCACTGAACGCTTTGTTGTAGTCAGCGGCGAATTCAGCGCGGATGGCCTCCAGGTCAGCTTGCGTCTTCTTGGACTTCACGGCCTTCTGTCGAGTGAAGCCATTGTTGTGGCAACAGCGCTGGAGCAGACGGAGCAGAGAGTTGTAGCCGGCTCTCTTGGCGGCGAAGTACTCGTCAAGCCACGGACGGTGGTGCTGCTTGAGAAAGTTGACCAGGTGTGTACACGTGACAGCGCGCTCGGCAGCACGAAGCTTGTGCATATAGGCCACGAGTGCAGCCATATCGGGGAGCTCATGAGGGCGGCCAGCACCACTGAGGTTGTAGCGCTTGAGCGGGCCATCGTGTAGGAGGAGTTGATGCGCCTGCTGCATCCAGCGAGCAACGTTGCTCTTGGGAATGCCGGTCGCCGCCTCAATGTCTCGAATGGAGGCTGTGTGCATTTTGAACAGCACAGCGAGCTTCACGGCGTGCGTATAACACCGACGTGGCTTCTTCTTCGGGTTGATTTGGTTGCGGTCCTTTGGTGCCAATTTTGAAGTGACTGGTGTCGATGTCACGACTGTGTAGGGCCCGCGAATTTTAAGTGTTTTCGCGCCAAAGTCAATTTTGGCCAATCATGTTGGATTAATCCTCTTTACTATTTTGGATTGGTTGTAAAGTTCCCATGTGTTATCAAACTTCGGGTGTCCTCTAAAATCTGTCGTTGACTGTACTTGGATTTCAAGGGCTTGTGCCTTAGGGACTGGTCTGTGAAAAACCGTCCAAGCTTTAAGGCAGGGATGTATCCGAACTATTTTCGAGGAATTTGAAAATATTTCTGAATTTCTATCGAAAACGTGCAAAAGCAGGAACGGACACTCAAAAGCAGGGATGATTCATCCCTTGCTTTTGAGGTTGTGTTTTTTTCGGAAAAATTCACGTTTTTGCCAATCAGGAGTCCATACTTCAAAAAGCGTGGACTGGAATCCCCTAAGGGGCAGACCACGAATTCTATTTGCTCTTCTCAAATATATTCTATTTTCTTTGGTTTTGTATTGAACCTTCAAAAAGAAACCGTAGTCGATTAATCTTACGATAAATCCAGCCAATGAATTTAACGTTTAAAGCAGCAAATCGTGACCATCGTACTCTTCAATTGCCTGGGTGAATAGAGCAGAGACCATTCTATCGACAGCGCAAACTTTTTCCAGTAGTTAAGCGCACATAAGTGCATGGACTCGATTGGGATATACACTGTAGTTGTGTCAGAAATCCGGTGGAACTTTGGGTAATATTACGAGAGCATGAATTGGACTACAGTATCTGTGCTCTGGTCCAAAATTTTGGACGTATCAAGATTATCGGTTGACTGCACAATATGTATCCTGCCCTAAGAGCCTGGTCTGCGAACGAATTGTTCCTGCTTTTGGCCATTCCTGCTTTTGCAAAATCAGTTTGATTGGTTACAATTATCCGTAATCCGAATGTAGTCCTTGCTTTTCGTGTCATGAAAAGCATGGACTCTCCATCCCTGCCTGTAACCAGTCATTCCTGCTTTTCGCACTCTTTTGTGCCACCAAGTCAGCCATGTCCGACCATGAGGTCCAACCGCCGGCAGAGATGGTGCTAGGTTGATGCAATACATACATACATACATACATATCATGCGTCACACATAAAACCATAGATGTTGCCACCCCGAAGGCCAAGGCAGGCAAGCGCAAGGAGAAGAAAGCGTCCTCGGAGACCAAACGCTATGTCCGGTGGTGCGATGAGAGTGTGGCGACACTCTTTCGCCTCCGTTACGACTCGCATTTGGCAAAAAGGTTCGAGTCCAAGAACAACGCCGAGAAGAAGACGGCGTACGTGATGTTGGCGGCGGAGCTGAGCGTCGCCATGGAAAGCGATTACACCGTGGCTCAGGTCCAGGACAAGGTACGAAAGTTTGATTTTGTCGTTTGATTGATGCGTTTTAGTTCTCGAAATTGAAGACAACGTGGGCCATGACAAAGCCTTCGAACCCCAGCGATACTGGGAACGCTCCCCTGGCCCCCTTGCCCCCCCATTACGACATTATGTTGGAGTTTTGGGGGTCGAAGAAGGGGTACCAACGGGAATCTCTCATGTCTACCGACGCAATTATTTGGGCTGATGCCACAAACTCTTCGGACGGTAGAAATTTATCGTAAATATATGTATTTTTACCACACAAGTAAATGTTTTTTAATAATTTAGAATCTCAAATCTATGT